TATAAAAAACACTATTATTATTATTATTACTTACACATAAACAGGGAGTTTTTACAGCCCAACGCACATGTGCTGAGGGATATTAACACCTAGTTTGCATACCGTCTGCTGGTAATATATCACAATAAAAATTTAAAACAAATCGCTTAGATCAGGGATGCCTAATGGTCTTGAAAAATAGTGCCTAAAAGACGATGAAAGTGCCACAAAATTTAATTACTTTTAAGGCCTTTTACGAACAATATATTTTTAGAAATAATATTTTTAAAATACTCTGAAGTAATATAATAATTATTAATTAATTAAATTATTACAGTAAATCACTTTTATGAAGGATTCCCACACACACTTACGTATGCACATACATATGTGCGAATATAGCTAAAAAAAAGGTCTCTCTCTTTAAACAAGACGTGGCAAAGCCTACTAGGTGTAGACCAGGACTGAGTACAACCGAATGGAACGAACATGCGAGCCTAGTGCTTAACCGCCTCCCGACGAAATACTTGACCGCGGGTCTCGGTACTTGGACGGTAGGAGGTTTAATTCGGGTTAAAGTCCACACTGACAGGTATAGTGAAAAAAGTTGCGAAAACTTATTTTTCGTACTGCGTATTCACAATAGAATTCAACGGTTTGTAAATATTTCTCACGGCCCTTATTTTAATTTTTTAGTGCTTTTCATCTTCACTTTTTGTAATTTTTTTTTAATCTTAATAATGTGGAATGAGATTTTTTGTTATATATTGGCAGTTTATGCTAAATTTCTATATTTTATGATTGTGCCAAAACAGGATGAATTGTGCCAAAAGTGCATCTGAGAATGCAAGTGCCAAAAAGATTTATGATAGAGGGAAATCAACTTAGCCATCCGCGATTAACTAACCTTGTGTGCACAGGACAATTCCAGCATAAATTAATTAATCACTAAACCAACTTAATCAAATTAAGGGTTAACAATTATAAATAAATATTTTTTATCATGGTTACGATTAACTGTTTAATCAGATTTATTTAAATTAGGATTAACTGTAATCTGATTGAATTTAATCAAATTAACTAATTGATTGAAGAATTAATCGTTTAGTGCCAATACTGGCAATTTCACAGCTGAAAAAAGCTTTTGGAGCTGATTGCTTGCTCTCAACCAAAGCCGTGGTTACAGCGCCAAACAAGATGAATAGTGTTTGTGAGCTAAAAGACAGATTTTATTACCATTATCTAAATCTTCAGTGCTTTCACTTAGCCACCACTGTATTTTTCGTCTGTTGTACAGCCTTTTCGATATCAGATCGCAGATGAAGCTACCAGTTTTACCACTGTTCAAATATTTGAAGATCACAAATTTTATTTGAAGATATGAAAAAAATTGTTCTAGCCTTCATTTCATAGCTGCTGATAGGTTAACTTTTGCAAATATATTTGTTTTTAAGGCCCCAGAAAATCAATCCTCAATTTAGTTGAACGCATATAGTTATTTTGTAAACATATATGGGAATGAAGTCAACAAGTTTTATCACTTGATTTCTCACATGAATAATAAACGAATATACTAAAGATAATTTGATTAAACAGGACCTCAAATAAAATGTTTTAACCTTTGATTTAACATTTGTTTGTATGTATGCATGTGCGCACTTGCATGAGCAGTTTTCCACAATAAATTCATTGTATTGCTGAAAGTAAATAAAATCTGAAATAAAATTTTACTTTTTCTCCCTTTTGCGGGCTGTTAACCCTCTTTACATTTGACTGCACAGTGAACAATACAAACAAAAGCAATGAAATGATAATGTGGCATCTCCTTTGCCTTATGTAATGAATAACTTGTGCAAAAATTGACAAGGGCAACAAAGACAGGCATAGCAAAGCTGAAGTCAAAATCAAATTTTCACGATTGCGCTTTCCTTTTTCTTTTCTTCTGTTAAATATAATCTTTTTTTTTTTTTGTTAAAAATATGTATGTATGTATGTGCATGTGTATAAACTCACCACAACTGGTATGACACAGTAGACGCAAGGATGCCCAGCAGCAGCAGCAGCGGCAACAGTGGGCAAACCGTAAGCGTTCACGCACAAATGATCCGTTTTAAAAATCTTCGTTGGCGGCGGCTGAGCCAATATCGATGACGATGAGGCCGCCAGCGATGCGGAGGAGCACGTATACAGCAGCGGCTGCTGCTGTGAATGTGTTAGCGACAGTTGGTGTTGTTGTTGTGACTGACGTGAAATCAAAGCAGCTGCAGTTGCGGAACGCTGTATTGCTGCCGCCTGTGCCTGCAATTGGCCTTGTCCTTGCGTTTGTATAAGAAAATCGAGTCCTGTTGGTGTTGTAGTTGTTGTTGAGCTTACGCCTGGCGCTAATGCGGAATGTAACGGTGTAATATTAGCTATGCTAGTAACCGCTGATTTAATGCCTGCTAAGCTGTTCACGTTTGTGGTCACTTCCTCTGTTGTTGTCGCTATTGCTGTTGCTGCCACTGCTGTTGGTGTTTCCGTTGAGGCGCCACCAAATGTTGTAGCGTTTGTGTTGTTCGATGTGCTATTTGTTGTTGTTTGTGTAACAATTGTGATAACAACTGTTGCCGCTGCCGCTGCTGCTGCCGCTGCTGTTGGTGTTGCTGTCGAGGCTTCTTGGGCGGTTCCTTCTGTTGCCGCCGATAAGATTAGCTGCTTATGTGGAAGGGGGACTGGAGAGGGTTTCCTTTTTATTGACGCAATTTTAGTGCTTATTGATGGCACGTTGGCGGAGAATATAGCTCCAGCTGTTTTTGTTGTTGCGGGTGTTGGCGTTGGGGACTGGTAGTCGTGGCGGGGCTGGAGGTTTTGGTTGTGTCTGTAGACGTTAATTGTGGCTATCGTTACACTTTGCGGCGTGTCCGACGATATTGTGATTCAAGTTTTCAATTCTCGATTTGCTCAGGATATTTTTTTTTACTTTTTTTTAGGAGCTATTTTTAGTCACGGTCGGGCCTATTTGGTTTATTTTTGATTCTGGGAAATCGCCCGTGTAAAATTATTTTAGGGAACTTTTGCACGCTCTGGAATTCAGTAAACTTTTCGAAATGGTTTATGCGCTGTAACGCTTTAGCTAATTTCCACGAAATTAAAATTTTTTTTCCAGTCAGAATATTTTCACATACAATTTGATTTATTTTAATTTTTGCAACACTTATTTGGAACGCTTTCGAAATATTTTTTTTTAAGTCCTAAACATTTTTTTGATAAAAGTCTTTTCACGTTATAATTTTCGGAGTAATTTCGGAGTGTTCAAATTTTCGGAGTATTTTTCGGAATGTCAAATGCATTTGTTTTTTTCGAATACTTTTGGAATATGTATGGAGAATCCAATTATATAATTATTTTTAAAGCATATAAACTCTCTGCCAGTAGTTATGGATTTTTTTGGCAGAGCTTTAAGTTCAATTGCTGTTTTAAAGTTTTGATGTATTTTGACTAAGGATTTCAGGTTGGAAAATGAAGTCTAACTTTGGTATGTATTCTCGATCGCTTTTCGAAAACGTCTTACTTGATTAGCACTTATCAGCACGCGGTACTTATTTTGAATGAATCACGCACAAAGAAACACACATCTGTATATTTTTAGAATGCAGAAAGGTTTTGTAAGATTTTGAGTTAACTTTCGGCTTTGTTCAGTATTTTTTTTTTTGTCTAACTTTGAACGCCTTAATTCAGTCGACGCTGATGGCACTTTTTAATTTTTCATTTTTAAATATTCAATGCGTAAAATCGATTTTCAAATTTTTATTTTTTTTTTCTCAATTAAAACTTTTTAATTTATTATATTTTTTGTCATTGCCCGAGGTATGCGCTCATTGTTTTTAATCGTTTAAAAAAAAATTCAAAAATACATTTTTTTGAGAATATGCGCTGCCAGTTTTAAAAAGCATTTATTACACACATAATAGCAGATTTATTGTTAGTTTTTTTTTTTGGAATCTGTTTAATTTTTTACGTGGTTGTTTGTGACTTTTGGTTCTCAAAACTTATCTGTTTATTTTTAACGTTAAAACTTGTAATCTTTATACACAAACTTTTTTGAATAAAATTTATTTAAAAATTTTTAGATTTTTTTTTTTGTTGTAAATTTTTCTCACCTTTTTTGCAATTCAATTCTCGATTTGTTTTTATTTTTTATTTTTCAAAATCTTTGGCTATTTTAGTTTAAAAACAATTTGAAATTTTTGCTTTTATTAATTTTATGCTCTGCTTTTGATTTAATAATATTTTTCGTTGCTATTTTTTCGGTGTATTTGTTATTATTCGCACAGTATTTCATAAAAACTTTATTTATCAGGCGTTGTCGAAATTTAACACTTTTTTATATAAATATAATTAAAATATTTTCACTTGCAGACTCACGAAATATCTCGCAATTTTTCGCACAGGATTTTTTTGCAACTCTGATTAATTTGTAGTTTTGTGAATTACGACTTGAAAAGTTTTCAGTTTTTTCCAGTATACAACGCTTGTGTCTTTGTTAACTGTTTTTGATACTTTTATTTTAATTTTAATTTAAATTATTTCTTTTTAGATTTTAATTTTAATCTTTTTCGACACACAAATTCTTTGGAAGTACAGCATAAAGCCCCTTTTCCCTGCAAAATGTTTTATTTTTTATTTTTTTGCATTAAGTATTCAAAATTTTAAGACAGCTTTTCAAGTTTCTTTTCTAAAATCTTTTAATTATTTCTTTTTTTACAAATCAGAAATTGTAGTTCATTTTCTGAGCATCATTTTTTAATTATTTTGAGCATTAGAATTTTTTTCCAAGTTCAGTTAAACTTCATGCCGCTTTTGTTCAGCATATGCGCTGTATAAAATATTTTTTTTTTCAAATCGTGAAATATTTTCAATGAATTTAGCAAAATTTTAGTGAGGACATGTGACTTTTTTAGCCTTCGTTTATCTTTGTTTTAGGTGTTTTCAAAGGGCAATTCATTTATCTTTTTTCACGTTGTATACGCCAAATTTTTTTAGTTAATTTTTTAGCTCTCTTATTTTGCTTGAAATATACACTCGTCTTAGCTATTTGTTTAAAGTTCAGTTTAATTCATTTCCTTTTTTCCGTTTCTCTAAATTTAAGTAAATTTTTAGATTTCAGTTTTTTTTTTCTTTACTTCTAATAATACTGTTGATTTCTTATACACTTTGTCTCACAAAATTAGAAACATTTACTAAGTTTACATTACGCTATTTTAAAGACAGCAACAACAACAATTTTAAGCTAAAAAGCTAAGCTTTCTTCAGCAGCACCACAGAATCGTTAATAATAAACACTAATAAGTACAATAAACAGCTGTACGACGGAATTAATTGTCTACGGCTAAATATTTGCTAGTTTTTTTCTTATTTTTAAATTTTAAATTTTTGCTTCAATTTTCTNATAAACACTAATAAGTACAATAAACAGCTGTACGACGGAATTAATTGTCTACGGCTAAATATTTGCTAGTTTTTTTCTTATTTTTAAATTTTAAATTTTTGCTTCAATTTTCTTTGATTTTTTTTTGCCCGTATGTTTTTAAGCTTCAATTTTTTTTTTTTTAATTAATGTTTTTACACGCAAATGGACAAATTTTTCTTATTGGCCGCCCGCTTCATGTGCAGTAACAAAGAAACGCGCACACATATACTTGCATAAACATATGCTTGTAACTTTTTTGCCAAAAGACATACACGGAAATCCTTCTTTGTGGCTCAGCAATACATCGGTGCACTGGGGCGTATACGTTACCTCGCGGCGCGCTGCTGCACTAAACCAAAAAGTACGAGTGTGTGTACTGTGTGCGTGTGTTGGTACTACATATGTATGTGTATGCATGCGACTACTGCAAGCATATGCTGAGTAAAAAGTATTACAAATTCGCGTTTTACAAATGTTTCCAGTCAATCGCGCACTGATGCGTTGGCCTGTACGTTGCTTTATTGGTTGAGTGCTTGCTTGTGGGTTTGCTGCTTTGCTAGCGGCTTGGTTGACTTGACTGACTCACTGACTGGCTGCCGCTTGCTTTTCGCTACTTGATTGCGTATATATGTATGTATATATTTGCGGTAATAAATTGCATGTATGCACACTCGAGTGTTACTTGCTTGCTGCTGCTTTAGCTTGGGGTTTGACCACCGGCGGTGTTTGTACTCAGCGACTGACTGACTGACTAGCTAACTAACCGGCGCTATATGGGCATAGACAGAGCGAAATCAGAGCGCGGCGGTATACACGAAATCACGAACAACTCGCAGCGCTGAAATGGCAGACGGAAGACAAAACTAGACGTACTCGTCGACACTATGCAGTCACTTGCACATGCATATGCACTAAATTAAAATAAATATAAATTTATTTTGTTGAATTGAATGCGCGCGCGTGATTTGCATCAAGCAAAAAGCGCTTGGCTTGCGGATTGATTGGTTTTTTTTCTTTCTTTTATTTGTACCTGCTGGTGTTAAGCGACGGCTTCTGGGGCGTCAGCGCTCGCTCAAAAGCACTTGTCGGCACTTTTGTTCAAAACACTTGAAAATTTAATCCGATTCGATACGTTTCCGGCTGCGCGTTGGCGTTTTTTTTTCTTTTCTTTTTTTTACTTGCTGCTTTTGCACACACAAAAATCTTTAGTATTTGCTTGACGCTTTTAGAATCGTTTGACAGCTGATGATACTGGTTGCTGGGAGGATGCTGCCGCTAACTGCTGACTGCTAACTTCGACTGGCGTTGGCCGGCACAATTGAACTTCTGAATGCTGCTGCGACGGCGGCGGTCTTTAATGTGGACGGCGGCTGCTGTACTCGGCTCGAAACGCGCGTATTCGTTAGGCGTCTGTGTTGTTGTAGCGGTTATAAGAAGAAAAAAAAGGATTCGTACACTCAAATTCCACTCGCTAACGACGAGCCGCCACACGCACACACACTCTCAATACATTCGCACAAATTTATGTATGTGTGTGTACGCGTGTTGAGTTTCGTTCACGCGAAAATGGCGTTTCATTTCCGTTGTGGGCTGTTGTTGCGCCTTTATGTGGTTGTGTGTGTGGCGGCTATTCGTTTGTTTTCGTACGAGTATTCGAGTATGTACACACACACACATAAGTAACTGCTGCGAACTCGTCGTTTTGTATGCCTTCGTCGCTTATTGCCAAACTAACTGCTTCCACGCCGAATGTATTCTGAGTTTCGCATTGAGCAAGGTTGGACACTCGCTGCCTGCAGCTTTAAACAGTTTGGTCGGTTAGTCGGTCGGCTTATGGTCGGCTGAGAATCCAAATACGAAACGATACTTACTTACTTTCGTACTTACAAACTTACACGTCTTCAAGTATATGTATGTATGCATTTGTACGAAAGTTAGCCACGAAATATTCGGCTTTGCAGAATTCAGCCGAAAAGTCCAAACTCAACAGTTATCAAATGTGCAGCAGCTCTGACAACCACATTCCTCCTCAAATTTAGACTATTCTTTTTTTCTGTTCTGTTTTTGTAGCTAAACAGCCACCGCCTTGCAGCCGCAGCTGCAGCCACAACCTCCACCATAGTAGCATCGTAATTTTGTATTTACCGGCATATTCTGCACTAGTCGTAGTTGTAGTCACGCAACAGAACAATAACAAAAACAACAACAAACTTCATTCCGCACACCAACATCGGGCAACATGCAACATTTCATTTACCGACGCTTCGCTATAGCTTTATCGACTTTTCTTTTGTTACGCTTGGGATTTGATGGTTGGAATTGTCATTGTATGGTAACGGTAAGTTGCGCAAAGAGCGCCTGCTGCGAATGCTCAGTGAGTAAATGCAGAAGCGAGCAATGAAACATACATATGTACGTGATACGAGTATGTGCATACATACATACATATGTATGAATACATGGGAGAAAAAGTAGACACCATTTTGCGCTCAATTTTATCGGAAAATATTGGCGAATACTAAATGTAGACAAGCGAGCGCATTCATATGCAAAAATACACATAAACATACAACAAACTCCCAACTACATAAATACATGCAATACATATTTTTATATGAGCGCACCAGTGTTGCCACTCAAAAAAAAATTTCTTACCAGAATTGGTACAAAATTGCGGTAATCCTACCAAAATGTGACTTGAAAATGCACCGTGCGACAAAAACAAAAAAAAATCAAAACACACGAAATAATCGATATACTTACGAAACATTGGGCCAAATATAGTAAAACTGCGTTTTTAGTTTTTCACTCTGATGTCGGGATTTTTTTTTTTTCAAAGGACTTTGAAATTTTAAAAATAATGTTATTTCAAAAAAATATTTTAAAAAATCAGTGCAATGTAGCATAACAATTTGGGTACTAAATGTGCGAGAAATTGTGTAGAATTTAAAAACAATAAAGTTTTTTGGTTTACAAGAACGAATAGGTAATGACAATGCGCTTTTAATAAATTTTCTCTTTTTAAGTTAATAAAGTTTGCAGTCATCAAACAGTAATTAAAAAATAAATAAATTAATATTCCAAATTTTCAAGGATATTTAAGGACAAAATTGAGAAGGGCATTTCCATACCCATTCGTCCTTAGGCACCAAAAAATTGATTCTGTTATAATTCTTCAGAATGTTTCCTTTTATATGAGACCCGTATTGTTATCCTACATTGCACTGAATTTTTTAAATAATTTTTTGAAATATTCATATTTTTAAATTTCAAAGTCCTTTAAAAAAAAATCTAACGTCAGAGAGAAAAACTAAGTACGCAGTTTTACTAGAATTTACCCATAGTTCATTCAATTTTTCGTATGTAAATCTTCCTGTCGCACGGTGTTATAAATAAATTGAATCAAATTTACTTGCCCATAATTTGTCTTCATGCTCAGCTCTTTTTGGGTTAAAAGAAGAAAAAAGCGCGAACTCAAAATCAAGCTTTGAAAATTATATGTTTTTACTTTTGCTACACGAATTAAAAGCTGTCAACTATTATTTTCTTAAGTGAGAAGAGGGAAATAAAATACAAATGTTCTCCCTTCCCACTCTGTCGATTTAGCAAAATGTAAAATTTCGAATTTGCATAGCAATTGTCTTATTATTTTCTGCTTACTTAAACAAATTGTAAATGATTAGAGGACAGCCTTATCAGTGCAACACTCAACTTTGCATCAAGATTAAATTTGGCATGCCCCATTTCTAGTTTCCTTTTCACATCATTCTTTATAGTATGTACTCCCCAAAAAAAAGAGATACTTGAAGTTTTTTAAAATGAATAAATTATGTGATTTGCCTTTCAAAACCCCTCGAAAATCACAACGCACCAACCAACCTACCAAAGCCTTATTTTAATAAACGAAACTACCAATTTTAGTCCAATTGGACCGAAACGGCAACACTTGAGTGCATGCATATGGCATGCTTACACCCACTTCTATGTAGCTGCTGCACATCCCATTCAAGCTCACCTCACACGAGTACCACTTTGCCTCGACTCGTAAATCATCTTTTTTTTGTATTCATTGTTTTTTCTTCTTCGTCTTTTGTATTCTTGTTTTTGCTTTTAGTACCGCGCCTGCGCTCTTCTGAGCCGGAAATGCTATTTGTTATTCAAAATTTATAAGCATTTGTGCGTGTGTTTTTACTTGTCCGCATGTAAGTTAAGCAGCTGATGATGCCCACATGCGTACGCATCGCTCATTACGTCTGCAAAAATAGCTATAAATATTTGTGTGTGCTTGTGTGTGCATGTATGTAGGTAGGTAAAATCACCACTTGGCAGTGATCGGACTCCTACCACATTGTGGTAGATCTGTCACTTTTTTGAGCGTCTACTACATCTACCACACAAGGTCTGAAATCTACCACATATTCGCGTTTTTGAGTAGTTTTATTTTTGCTCGACATAATTTTCTTAATTTTAAGAGAAAAAATTGTCCAGCACTAAACACTAACAACAGCCAGAATGGGAGGATAAAATAAACTGTAAAATAGTAAACTTTCTTAATACTCAATTTTTCGAAAGGAAACGTGGTTTTGTTGTGTTAAATTGCAAAATTTATGATTTATAAAAAAATTAATAGCAAAAATGTTAAAAAACGGCGATTTTTTGAAAGCAAATTTTTTTTAGTAAATTTCAGTGGATCTAAAGTCTCTAAGCGTTCTTTAATTTTACTTGAGAATTGTCAAAATCGGCAAATCCCGGGTAGCGCTTTCTGGAACGTGCCACATTTGTTCGCTACATCGTGATGTGATAAAAAGAAAACCTGGCAGCACTCCGCAAGGTTGCAGAAATGTTTCAAAATATGTTCGAAAAATATCTTGGTATGGAAGGAACAGCTTTACACTGTCAAGGAAAAAAATTGTTAAAACTCAACGCAATTTTTAGTAACTTCAAACTTTATTGTACTACAATTAATTTTTTTTTAGATTTTAACTAAAATGTTTGCAATTTCGGTGAAACCTTGCAGAATTTTTTATTTTTTGTACAAAGTTTGATCCAAAACCTGAGATCTACCACATTTTTTTGAAATCTACCAAATTTTTTTCCAGATTCTACACACAATTTTTTTTTTCGAAGTCCGATTACTGCCACTTGGCGTGGCTTAATTTGTAGCAACTTTATGGAACGTGGTGAATTTCAGTTTGAAGCTTTGGAGCGTTTCTTAGTACAGGATTCTCCGAAAACGGCTGCAGAAGAGTTTGAGTAGGAAAAGCGCTCTTAGTGAACGAAAAAGCTTTATTGTCTTTCTCTTACCCCATAGTTACACTTTGAAAAATTAGCCATGTCTAGAGAATTACTTTGTTAAGGCAATGAAGCCAAAAGCTTTCATTTGGTCACAAAAACATGTTCGCCGAAAACCGAAAATTTTTCAATCAATTAACGAGCAGACGGTCCTCAAAGGCCCGAAAGGGAAAATTTTAGGAGTTTTACATAAGGCGAACATAGCGCAGTGCTTTGTAAGCTGGGGTCGCTGTGTCGAGTCCCAGTGAAGAAGTCTGATGAGGATATGTCGTGATCTCCGAAATAGCAGCTATAATTTCTACCATTTACACACTATTATTGTTTTTTCTAAAATAATGTTAAAATTGTTTAATATAAAATTGAAAAGATAGCCTTTAAATCTGTAAAACAAAGGTTTTTTTTAATGTCTTTGAATTTGTTTTTTTTTTTTGTTTTTTGTACGCGAAATATGACTACATTAATAATAGTTTTCCAGATTTTGGGAAGTAAATTTTTTTTGTTTAGCGGCAATTTCCCGAGCAATTGCGTCAACTATTTTCAGTACTATGCATACTGCAAATAATTACAATAACTTGAATATGGAAACAAACTTGTAATTTTCACCACACGACTNTTTTTTTGGTTTAGCGGCAATTTCCCGAGCAATGCGTCAACTATTTTCAGTACTATGCATACTGCAAATAATTACAATAACTTGAATATGGAAACAAACTTGTAATTTTCACCACACGACTTTGTGAAGTATTCTTCACGCCATTCGTCAAGCGCAAAAAAAACACAAAATGCCAAGTTATTAATCCTTTATATATAGTATGTAACTCTACACTATTTTGTGCATGTTTGTTTCGGCATTGCAGATTTAAATAAAGAACATTTTTAGATACCTTAGCATATAAATAGCACTAAAATAATTCACCCTGACCCTCTTGGAAATCAACAAATTGTGGTAAGCATCTTTGCGCACTCAGCTACAGCCAGAAATGCTTATGTACAGATAAACTTGTTAGCGATTGGTATTTTTAACATGGCGATGTCCTACGAGATGTCAATCGTCAGGCTGTGCATCAGCATCTGCTAGTAGAAATACATCATACCATTGTTTTTCTTAATTTTTTTTAGTTGA